ATCAACAAATTGCATGGGTTAAAATTTTGTATTCCCTCCTGTTAATTTTTGTGTTCCCAGTACGTTCTCTCCTGTTCTTCTGAGCATAACTTTCAAATTTAAAAAACCTATGAAAAGAAAATTTGAGAGAAATTTTTTTATATATATTAATAGACTCCCCTTTTAAAGCTGAATTGAATGGTGGTAAGTTTTTTAAAATCTAATGTGTGTATCACATAATATTTCAAAAATTTTAACTTTTGAGTATAGATGATCCGCACTGTATACATAATATGGACATATAATAATTTATATATTAATGTTGATATTAATTGGGCTTAAATTCTCAGTACGTTATAAAGCAAGTTCCGTTATAAAAGAGTGAACTGTACCTTTTTAACTGCTTCATCTTCATTCCCGGGTACCATTGCACATCGTTCTTTCATTTTGGACATTTCAACTGATATGATGGCACATTGTTCAACACTGCTCCCTACACAAGAAGAAATAATACCAGACAAGAAAAATGTTGTTAGATTTATATAATATATATCTTTGATTTATTCACGATTTGCTTTTGTGGTTTTTCTACTAATTCATTTTTACTTTCCTTTTCTTCATACCCTTTTTTTTTTTCAATTCATAATTTTATAACCTAGCGCCACCCACTGCGTTGTAACCATATATACGGGCAAAAATTTTGCATTATTTACAATATTTTAGATATAACTTGTTGTGCAAGTCTTACAGTTAACAACAAGGATGATGCTCTTCAACACTAACAAAGCAGAATTATATCTAAAATTGGTTAAGTGCTAATATCATTCTATTATTTGGAATGTTTTTTCACCATGAAAAATCCTCGCCCCTGCAACCAGACACTCCAATCATTTATAACAGCAACATATACACCATAATCAAAAACAAACATATAACCAAGTGTTGCATACACAAAGATGATAGAGTGAACTACACACCAAACAATTATTTCGTAGTATTACAATAACACAACATTAAATTAACATACAATTGAAAACATTATGTATCAGCAAATAAAAAAATAAACCACAACATCTATAATTCACATTTTTTCTGATAAACCCAACTTCACCACAATTTTTGCATCATCTTTGTGTTTTATTTCATACAATCTTGTTCCAATGATGATTTCATTTGTTTAGTTGTTGATCTACCTTTACCTTTTTGCTTTTCAGGATTTTTCAATTAAAATATGGTTGGGCCTTCATAATATTTTACATCAACCATCCATTTCCTGTAATAATTCAATGAATTCTTCTGGCTTATCTTTTGCTGATAATTATTTTTTTAATTACATATTGTATTGTAAAGTTTTTGATTGTAGATATCTTGATCAGGATATTTTTTTCATGGTACACTCTTTAAAACAGTAGCACCAGATGACACTTTTTAACATAGAATTGTACCTCTTCCATGATATTGTCTGGTATCTTGCGTAATACAGTGAAGTACAGATGCACTTTGTAATGCATGATTATGATCGCTAACGAATTGGTTAAAAAATATCAGATTCAGACGCTTACAATATGTTATATTTACAAGGAATCCACGTTCAATACAAACTGATTCTTGGTTTCGGTTATGTGTAGGATCCACTTTTCTTATATTCATATTTGCCCCCATGATACGTTTATGCGTTTTTCTGGACCAGGTACCATCTTCTTTTTCAGATATTACTGTTCTAATCTCAAAGCCCGTTTGGTTTGCATATCGTTTCAAACATTTTTCAAGTACTTTGAATGATTTAAATGTTTTTCCAGTGTATATATCTTTCAATGAACTATCATCAGGCTCATTGTCAATACCACTGGCTTCGTTTACATCATCTTCCTTATCATTTTCGTCATTTATGGTATGAATATCATTCATCTAAATACAGAAGATGGTCAGTAAAAGCTAAGGATCACGAGTAATAAAAACTTTATAGTAGCAGCTTACATTTGAAAGTTTTGAGCAAAGTAGTTAAAATCATTTTGTAAAGTGTAAATTTTGTGAGTGAAATCGTTTTGTAATTTTTGTGAATTCCAATTTTTTCAAATAATAATAATAAAAAATAATGTCAACATTTATAAATAATATTGATACTACTACTATTAATAATAACAACAACAATAATAATACTTTAGCGTCGTTCCCAACAACAGCAATACAAGATGTAATAAATCCACATAATAATCATAATAATAATAAAATATCCATCAATGATAATAATAATAACAAAAATAATGATCAATATTTTTTATGTAATTTGTTAGCCGACAATGCAAGAGAATATATAGTATTGTCCAATAAATCATTCCTTGGAATTTCTGATATTATATTTGCACTTATTCTTGCATTTTTTATAAGTTTTTTGGTGAGTAAATAAATTTATCATTATTAATTAAAATATTAAGTAATTAATTAATTTATTTATTATTATTATTGTAATTTAACTGACAGAACAAAACCAGGGTGTCATATGGAATATGTATAATAATGTTAGTGATATGGATTTGGTCAAAGTTTAATATGGTTAAAGAAGGTAAATGCATAATAATAATGTATGTAGATGTAAAGTTATAAAGATATAAAGATAAAGATATATTATGTCAATTACATATATATATCAATCAATTTTGCCACAATCAATCAACCATAAATAGAGAGCATATTGGTAGTTAAAGATGTAGGAATACAAGTTAAGACTGTGTATATGGATGGTAGATGCGTGTCAAAATTTATTGATATTTCTAAAATATCAAATATCATAATAAATGAAGGTATAACAATGTTACAAGTTAAATTCTATTTAGCATTAGTCGTCGAAAATCAGGATAGAATGGTGGTTGTATTTGAGGTAAATTAATTAATTATTGAGGTTATTTTAGAAATTTGGCAAAATTAATTGCAACTTTTTTATTTTTTCCTCAAAAAAATCAAGTAGAATCTATTACCAAAGTTATATATTCTTAAACAAGTTTATAGAGGAATTAGATCTGTAATATCTAGTGAAATTGAAGAATAAGGAATAAAGGTAGATGTTTATTTAGGAATTTCTTGATATAAAATACATTTATTTATTTGTTTTTGTAAATTATTGACAAACATATAAAATATGTAGTGTATATAATAATTTATAAATATATCAATCAAATTTCACTAAATTCAATTGGATGTCTAACTAATAAATCATACAAATCCTTTGGTATTTGATGAACAAGTTGTAATGTTAAATTTATTATTGGCTTTGCTTTTAATTCTGGCATTTTTCTTAATAAATTCATTGGACTAAATAAAAATATTTTAGGATTAGATATATAAATAATTTTTTACATAAATATTATATTTGTACATTTATATAATTTACCTTGGAGATTCCAATAATTGATTTCTCATTAACACAAGTTGAGCAATAACACATAAAATATTCAAGTGTACCCCATAAGCAAATAAAAAATCCCAAAGTTTCAATACTTGATCAAGTGGTGGTGTACATGCACAGAACGTAAGAACAGCTAATAAATAAAAAATTAAAATAAATAAATATTATAATAATTATAAATCTATTAATTATTTCCAAATATGTGCTTACATGGAAATGCATAAATTTCAGCCGTAAGATTTTTCGATTTTAAATAAATGAATAAATTTGAATCAATAATTTCTAGGCATTTATCCAACAACTAAATCAATATCAATTTTAAATCAATATAATGTATGTAGATATATATTTTATACATTTATTATGTATGACAATTTATTTATTTACCTTTAATCCAGAATGAACACCTTCTAAATTAGGTGTGACATATAATGGACAAAAATGTTGAATAAACGCTGAAAATGAATAAAATGCATCTAATTCTGGCATCACAAATAAGAAAGGTGCTGCTAATACATTCATTCCTTGAACATATGTGATTTCTTTATTACCAGAATCTAATTTTTAATTATTAATGATACATTAATTAATTAATGCAAAAAAAACATAAATAATAACAGTTGCACATAATATAAATACTTACAATTCATCTTCCATACAAAAGAATTCAATAAACGAATTAACATTTCTTCATTAACTTTTGTCAGAAACCTTTGATCAGTAGCCAAAGTTCTAAAAGTGTCATCCCTAATCTTATCATAAACACAAGATTTTCCTTTTCTTAAATATCCAGTGTATTCATCGACTGATAAATAATAAACTCCAAGAAAACATTTCCATAATCTTGATCTAATTGATGAATATGTAGGTATAGAATGTGATAAATTACTATTAACATGATTGTGGATATGATTTTTATTGTTGTAATCTTCTGGTGTTGGTAATTCTCGAACTAATATTAAATTCCTTAATTTTGATAAAGCAATTTCTAATTCTCTTTCATTTTTAAGAGATTTATTTAGAATTGACTCAAATGAAGCTTTATTCCTATTTTTATTCTCTTTTTTGCTTTTATGATTTGTATTGTAATTATTTCTTCTATTATTATGTATAGGCGATGATGATGATAATAAATACGATGATGGAAAAGGTGGGGGTGAAGATGATAAAAATGTTGAGTATGATTTGGATGTAGAATTAGGTGCAGATGTTGAATATAAAGGTGTGGGTGTAAATGCAGATGGATATTTTACAATGTTATAGTTATTATTATTTGACCAAGTTGGTGAATATCGATAAAAATTTAAAGGTTTTAATGACGATGCAGGTGATGCAGATGATGCAGATGATGCAGATGATGACGATGACACAAATGATGCAGACGCAGATTCTATAAATGCATTGCGATTATTGTTACTTTTTGGTGGATAATTAATGCTAATATTATTTGTTGTAGCTGAATATTTTATGATATTATTATTGCTAATACTATTTTTACTACTACTACTATTATTATTATTATTAGATTTTTCCCGATAAGAGTTTTCTTTAGAAGAAAAAGATTTGTTGTTTTCGTAAGGAAAAGTTGAAGTGTAAAGTTTTGGTGATAAAAGCAAAATAGAAGTCATTATTACAAATATTGTTTTTTTATTAAAAGATTGAAAAAAATTATTTAGAAAATTTTTAAAGAATGAATTCATAAATAATATAAATAATAAATTATTTGATTATTTATATATTTTCGTAAAAAACATTGTACGCGCGTTTCTATTTATATAGGGAGATAAGATAACTGATAATATAAAAACTCTTGTTTAAACTTCTTTTTTTTTGCTTTCTAAATATTAGATTGAATTTGGGTTTTGATAAAATAAACAATAAATAAATAAATCATAAGGCAAAATATTAAAATTAATTTTTTTCCTTTATTAATCCATTGTTTATTTATTTAACTATTTATCGAGACACAAGTTATTTATTAAATGTTTATATTTTTTTGAGTTGAATTGATCATAAGACGTTAACGATTGTACGTACGTGTAACAATTTTCTTTAAAACTTTTCATTGTTGTTCCTTCCTTTTTTTCCATTTTAATACTTGGTCCACGACCACATTTTACATCAGCTTATCTTCTATGAGCGAGGATCGTTAATCCGGTGAAACATTGGATATGTGTACGACAGCTTTATAAAAAACGCGCGTTCTTTGATTATTTTATTATCAAAAAATGGATTTTTGAAAAGAAAAGGTTTCGAGTTATACATAACCGAGAGGCGTTATTAATACATCAATCATATACATAACCTAGATGGAATTAAAGCAATTGGAACAGGTAGTAGCAATAGTAACGGAAGTTTCTTTGGGAACAATTCTTACTAAAAAAATTCATTACAACGTATAGTAATGTCTTTTAAAACTGGCAACTGAAACTTATGCTCAGATCTGTTTGAAACAAATAAAAAAGTGACTGGAAGGATCAAGAATTTTAAAATAAGAATAATGAAGATTTTTTCCTCGATACTCCTCACGCATTGAATTTTGATTATCATAGAGATTCAAATAGTCAGCAAAAAGAAAATGAAAAATTACTGATGATGTGATTCAATAAAGATTTATTAGAAAAGAATCCAATGACTTGACATTTTAAAAATTTTCCGGTGTGAATTATTCTGAAAGGAAAATTTGGTCAATCAATTGAGATATATAAAAGATAATCATATTACTGTTATATTCTTATATCCTTGATAAAGAATTCTTTATTAAAAAATTAAAATAATAAAATAAAAAGTGTTCTATCAAATATATGTAAAAATATATACTGTATATTGTTTTTAAATACTTTTAATTAATAGTAAAGTATTTCTAATAATAAATAATAAAATTAACAATGAATTAAAGATTCAAAAGTTTTGATTTAAATAAAATTTTATTATTAAAATGGTAATAACTGTAGTTAATAATAATAGATATTATTAGTTAAATAATTAAATATATTTTTTATTAATATTACACAATAACTGATAATTAATTAATAATTTTTCTTAATTTTTATAAATCTAATTTATATTTTTTCATGTTTTTTCTATTTATATTTCCAATTTTGAATCTTCTACACTATCATTAAAAGTTTTAAACTTTTCGTTTCAAATTAGTACTTAACCATTCCAATCCTTCATAAAGACCATCGCCACTTGTAGCACATGTAGCTTGGATATACCAATGACGTTGTCGAAGAGAATGGAGTCCAAGTTTATCAGTAATTTCTGCCGCATTCATTGCATTAGGTAAATCTTGTTTATTGGCAAATACCAACAAAAGTGCATCTCTAAGTTCATCTTCATTAAGCATACGTTGAAGTTCTTCTCTTGCCTCTGAAATACGTTCTCGATCATTTGAGTCAACTACAAATATAATACCTTGTGTATTTTGGAAATCTGTAATAATGATTGATGATGGGCGAGTCAGTGATTAATAGATATATGAATGGATGTGCATGGTCAAGATGCTTTTGTGGTAAAGATATTATATTATGCTATATAAATGTATATATATATATATATATATGATATATATATACTAAATATACACCATATAAAAAATATTAAAAACAGCTTACAATGACGCCAAAGTGGCCGTATTTTATCTTGACCTCCAACATCCCAAACAGTAAAAGAAATATTTTTATATTCTACTGTCTCAACATTGAAACCTTTAGAAAATAAATAGAAAATTTGAATTCATTATTATTAATTTATTAATTATTATAATAATTATTATTAATTGATTGAGTGTATATATGGCTTACCAATAGTAGGAATGGTGGTAACAATTTCACCTAACTTGAGTTTATACAAAATGGTGGTTTTACCAGCAGCATCCAAACCCACCATCAAAATGCGCATCTCTTTCTTACCGAAGAGACCTTGAAGAAGTTTTGAAATTGATAAACCCATTTTGTTTTATATTTTAAATTTATCTATATTAATTTGTCTATCTATAAAATTATGAATTACTCTATTGATTTAAAGAATTATTAAAAAAAAGAGATGGGTTAATGGGAGAGATGTTATAAATAATAAAAAATTTTTTTAATTGTTTAATGTAAATAAATATGTATATTGTCATTGGTAAAAGAGGTCAATATTATCATCAAAGTACATTGTGTAACTGAAAGTTTATGTTCGATTAACTTGTGGAACAGGTTTAATGTATAACATATATATATACGCTCAAAAACCACAGTTAACACCAAATTTAAAACAGAGAATCATCTTCTTAATCGACATATAATAACAAATTGTCGAATCAATAAATTATTTAATAATATATTAATATCATTTTTAAATTGAAAGTGAATAATTCTGAATGCATTTAACATAGTAATAATAATTACACTCTTATTATTCACTAATGCAGTTCCTACTCGCTTAATAATTTAATGATAATATTAATGACATTTAAAATTGGAATTGTTATTTATTATTTTACGTCAACTAGAATCTCAATTCTTACAAAGTCAAAAGGTTTCTAGTCTAGCCTTTAACAATGACTTTGTAGAGCACACTTTAACGCATTGTTTTTTGGCTTATTCTCTCTACTAGTCTTGAGATGAAAGAAATACTTTCAACCTTTCGTAGAGCAACCAAAATTTAAGTTAGAACCTTGCTTTAATGGTCGTTTGAAGTTCTGGTTTGCTTTATATTTTTTGTGATAAATTTTACAATTTGGTGATCGACATCAAACCTTTATTATTATCCCTTTTTCGAAAAATTTGGGGAGGTTATATAGTCCAAATTTGGAAATCGAATCTAGAAAAATTGGAACTCCTTTGTCGATCAATTCATATGTGTGGCGAACGAGTTAACG